TTTGCTGCGAAATAACGCCAAAATTGCAATAAAAGATGCAAGAGACGCCACCGCACTTCATCATGCAGCTCAACGGGGTTACACCGAAATTGCAAAGAAACTATTACATGCTGGAAGTGATGTCAATGCTCGAGGTAAGTTGATCGAACATTTGATTGACGTTTTCGAGAGTTAATTAACATCTTTTCAGATAAACTCGGTTGGACACCGTTAATGAAAGCATGTTATTTTTGCAATCCGGATATTATCTTAACATTATTAGAAGCCGGTGCAGATACAGACGCTGAAACTGAACAAGGTCGTACAGCACTTCATGAATTATGGTGAGTTTTCTGAAACAAAAGGGAAACGACGAAAGATTGACATTGTTTCTATTTTAGTCGGTCACCTCCGCGAACACATTCATCATCCTCATCGTTAACAAATAATACAACATCGGATAATGAATCAACATTGGCTGAAATTGCTTGTATGTTAATTGAAGCTGGAGCTGATGTGAATAAAACTGATCATGATCATTTTACTCCATTAATGTATGGTATGTTTATTAAAAGAAAACATTTCCTTGTTTGGATTCGATTAGATGACCAACTTCGACTCTTTCTCTTTTAGCCGCTTTTCATAATCATCCAGGCGCTGCACTTGTTCTCTTGGAGTCCAATTGTGCAATTAATAAAACTGATAAGCAGGGCTGGACAGCTCTTCATTGGGGTATCGATCGTGATCACTCAGAAATCGTTCAATTATTAATCGACAAAGGCGCTCGTACAGATATTCTCAGTCATCGCGGCGACTCAGCCGCTTCAAGAGCCAAATCAGTTCGTGTTAAAGATATTGTTAAACATATTAAACGTTACTCGACATTATCATTATCTTTAACCGATGTTAATAATATTCTTCATCATGCCAATTCCTCTCCAACAAGTTTATCGCCGACTGAAATCGAGAAATTGAAAAAGTTCACCTCAAGTATGTCAATGACAAATGTGGAAAATAATCAGCCATTACTTCCTTCAACATCAACCAACGGATCAGCCATACGAGCCATAAGTTCAATGGATGTTAAATAAATCTCTTCGATGTATTTTGTCATTTGATTTAATTATTCTATTTTCTCTCTGTATCTTTCCTTTTTTTTTGTTTCTTCTCTCATTCGTTCAGTTTCTCTTCTTCTTCTTGTGTATGCTTTGTTTCGTAGAATAGAAAGAAAACTCACCAGACAAAGAACTTGATTTGAAGAAAAACAAATATTTCGACAAGAATATTCAGTATTTAGGTGAAATTAGAAATCATTAGGACGAAATGTGTTTTCTTTTTCGTTTGTTTGTTTTTTCATTTTTCGGTTAATTTTAAAAGAATGTCATCATTTTACATGTTGCGTTTTCTTTTTCTATTGCAATTGAAATTCTATTCAAATAAACAATAGGATATCGGTAATTAATACAACTTAGCCAATTTTCTTTCTAGACAAATGTCTTCAGGCTGACAAGAATGCTTTCCTATCGCCATATTTTCTTGCTTTATTAATAATTCATGTCGTCTAGTTATTTGCCATTTATCTTGTTCGAAAAAAAACACGCACTAGCGTCGATGAAAAGCATATTTACCGAATTTGTTGAACAACCTTGTTGAAAAGATTATATTAATAATGTTTATTCACAGTCTTGTGTTTTATTCAATCTGAAGATGTTTTTGGCCTTCCTAGTTGAATGACGCATCTTGTATCTATTTAGTTGGTGGATGTCACCTTGAGGACTTGTACAGATGCAAAAGAAAAAGAAAATTACTGGTATTCAAGGTGAAATTTGAGTGTGAATGAGGATTTAATTTTCAATTTGGTTAAGAATCACCGTATGAGAAAGGAAATTGAAGTTATGTAATTTCTTTTGAAATATCAAACTAAGACGAAGATTATTCTCTTTATCTTCAAACACAATTTCTCTTCTAAAACATTCGTTAAGTAATCACGGGATACTTTTTTTTTGGCCATGAGAAAATTTTTTGTTCATAGATTTAACCTCTCAACGCAATCAATCAGTAGATATTGACACGTAACTTAACAATCAAATTTGATTCATCATGCTGACAGATCTCTGACAGTTTCATTGTTCTGATTAAAAACTAATGAAGTTCATGCAGAGTTCAATCTAATTGAAAATTTTCTTCTTGAGTTAACATAATAAAAAGTAAATGAGACGTTATTTGTTTGTTCTAGAAAGGTTTTTATGAATCGTTTCATACGTCAAAAGAGAAATCTATTTGTCATTAAAGAAACATTACATATGTCAGCTTCTAATCAATCAAATCGTGCGGATTCATTCGGTACTTGTGAGAACGATCCGATCTATGAATCAAGTGTTCAATCAATTCGAAGTTTGTCTCCTACAATAAAACAATTTCATTTGAAAGTTAATGACCCATCGCAAACATTTCGTTTTCAACCGGGAATGTTTTTAGATTTCTATTTTCCTTCTTCAATAACATCGATTATCACAGGATTCTCTATTTGTAATTCACCATTAGATTATGCGAAAACAGGATTGATTGAATTAGCGATTAGAGAAACCGATTATCCTCCAACACAGTATATGTTTAATCACTGTCAAGTAAATGAACAAGTTTCGATAAAACCTGGAGGAGATTTTCATTATGATTCATCGATAACAGACCGTGATTCGATTCTGCTCATCTGTGCTGGTATCGGAGCAAATCCGATTGTGTCAATACTTCGACATATTCGTGATTTATATCAAACAAAGAATTCGGAGCAAGTCCCATATCGAATCGAGTTCTTGTACACAGCACCAACACAGCAGGATCTGGTGTTTCGTCAAAGTATCGATTTATCATGTCAACAGATGATCAAAGATAAAATTTTGCGAACTAATTATTTTGTAACAAGGGATATTAATGATGATATTAAGATTAATAATCGACGTATCAATGCAACAGATTTGCAGCAAGCAATACAATGGCTAAAGAAACCTGTTACCACATATCTATGTGGACCATCATCATTCATTGATTGGACAGAAAAGACTTTGAAAGAACTTGATGTCAAAAGAATTTTCTATGAGAAATGGTGGTGAACTTCTTAACAAATAAAATTCCGTGCATTGTTTCTGCACGATTATCTTTCGTGTTAATTTAATACTAACTCGGCTGGACATGTCAGTTGGAATTACACTCACGTGTAATCAAACGGACATTTGTAACAATTTCTCTCTTACATAATGATAAGAGAATCTATACTGAGCAGAGTAGGCAAAGAAAAGTTTCGATGAGTAGTAGTCGGTTCTATTCAGTACTTCACTTCCGTTTCTTTTTTCTTCTTCTTTTCTTTGCACTGGAATAAATTATTTGAAAACTATCATCATTTTTTCTCTTTTTTTCTTCTTCTTCTCGTTTTCAGACCTTTTTTTTCCTTCATTGAATCATGCAGTCTTCTGTTTTATCATATCTTTAGACATTTATTCATACATGAAATTCCTGTTTCTTTTCTCTTCTTTCCTTCGTCTTCAATATTACTATCAAAGAAAAAGAGAGAGAGAGAGCAAGAAGAGATCAACTAACCGGTCAACAGTATTAAGTAAATGTTCATCAGCGTTCTAATGGCATAAGAAAGAAAAATTATTAGTTTCTTTTTAATATAAAGTGCTTGATTATTTTTCTTCGTGTCTTATTTCCTTCTTGCAGCTATTCTCTTAAATGTTGCCAATAGACATCGATNTCCTTCGTCTTCAATATTACTATCAAAGAAAAAGAGAGAGAGAGAGCAAGAAGAGATCAACTAACCGGTCAACAGTATTAAGTAAATGTTCATCAGCGTTCTAATGGCATAAGAAAGAAAAATTATTAGTTTCTTTTTAATATAAAGTGCTTGATTATTTTTCTTCGTGTCTTATTTCCTTCTTGCAGCTATTCTCTTAAATGTTGCCAATAGACATCGATTGAGCTGAGAAATAAACAAACATATTCTTGAACAATATCTCATCTTCCACATTATGCAATAGAACGTAGCAGGAGTCAAGCTAGTTATCGATAATTTTCATCAAACCTCGATCATTCTGATGCCGTTCGACGAGGCAATTATTCTGTTGAATCAATACAGCAGCTGTCACCTTTTACACAATCAATAACATACATTTTTTTCTTGACTTTTTCCATCTCTTCTTCAGTCGAACGATTTCTTTCTTCTCATCTCACGAAGATAGATATGTGCACGATGAGGAGAAACTTTCATTTCTTTTCTTTTGAAGTTTCTAGGCATTCGCGTATCACTGATACAAACATTAACAAGAGAATGTGTTTTTTCTTCGATATACTCGCGTCGGAGTATGTGTCAGGAAGTCAATTCGTGATCGAGTTTCTTCGTTTTCTTTTTGCTTTCTGATTCGCGATCAACGACCATCGTGTTCGGAATAGTGCGCAACGTGAAGGATTAAGAAGCTCATTGATGTAGAAATAAGGTCTAGTCAGTCTGACTGCCGGAAAGGAGCATGTAGAAGATGATGACGAGGATGAAAAACGACTCGACAAATGAGAGAAGATGTACAATTAGGAAGAAAAAGAAACGTGCATGATAACAGTTACAGGAGAATGGAATTAGACGCGTCGAATATTTATTATGATTATGTATAATAAATACTAGATATCGAGAGAAAGAGATAGAGAGAGAGAGGGAAGGAAAAGAACGGAAAACTATAATCTTTGTTGCGCTTTTTTTTTCTTCAACAAGTATAAACCTCCGCCTCTTCATTCTCTCTATTTTGCTTCGGCAAAATGTGTGAAATAATCTTTTCTTCATTCGACTTTTTATCGTCTGTACGTGCGAGCAGAAGTTTGGGGATCGAACGTATCTAAACAACTTCTCAGACGATTCGCAAATTTGAATTTCGAAGATTTCTATCAAGAGATATAATCAGGTATGTCATTGAGTTTTATTCAAGATTTCATAGAGAATGGAATCGTTGAAGAAGATACGATGCGTGAGAGTTATCTGAGCAATTCAGTAGACCATCGTAAGGTTTTCAGTCGTACAACACGCAACTATTGTTAAATGTCTCGATTAATTGAGCAAGATTCGAGAATTTGCCGTGAGAAGAACATGAATGAATGTAATTGTGACACATGTATAAGTATATGTTATTAATCTAGTAAATATGCAGAAAGATTCTCTTTTTTTTGACGAAAATTGAGAGTAAAAGAAAAAACAGTTCTTGGATTACTTTGTTGATCATCAGAGTAGGAAAAAAACGAGATCGGGGAAGAAGAAACCGAATGATATATTTATATAAATATTACTGTTATCGTTTAACGACGACGCAGAAACAGCAGAGTGAAAGTCGTGTCGCATTTCATCTCATCAATTGCTAAATTATAACCTTGAGTATTTGCGTGTTTGCTTGTTTCTATACTGGAAGGTCTGTTGTAAGCAATTGAATAGTAAAGAGAATTGAAATGTGGAAGAGAGAAGAAGGATACAAATATCACAAGCAGACTATGTAAAACAGGAAAAAAAAACTTTTACTACACTTCTATACATATGCATATGCAGACACGTATTCTTCTTTTTTACATAGTCAGATTAATTGATTTCGTCAGTGACAGGAGATGGAAAGGAAACTTTTTGAATAATAGTGAAAGAGGTTAGTAGGCAAACAACTCTGATGTAGGTGAGCGTGACGTCGTGAGAAGCGTCGGTTGTTGTTACGAATAAGAAATACTATATAACAATAAAATGAATAAATCTTTCGTTATTGGTCACTCGAGATAGTCAATCGTAATGGTATTAGACATTTGCCTATATACCGTTGCTGATTGATCCACTCACGATCGATTAGAAAAGGTCTGGTGATAGTAATTGTATTTACAATACTGTGTTTGCCCTGCCTGTTTCTGTCTGCATAGATGTAAGCGTCTGAGAGTTGAGCTAATTTACGACGACGATTTTCTGTGATTATCAAGAAAATGCTTCTATATACATATACACATATATCTATATGTATATAATCATCGTCAGTAAGTCAGAAACGGTGATACATCTGTGGAAGGGAAAGGGTCAAGATGGTAAAGTTCGATAGGCATCGAGAATAGAACGGGCGAAGACTTTTTCTTGACTTCCTGTCTTGGAGTAACGTCAAGTCAAGGTGAATAGTAAATTATATTGTGTAATCTTTCAGTTTGTATACTTTCTCATCAATAAGTTATTCGCATGCGTACGATGGTGTTCAATGTGGTGATATGATGATGATAACAGATGACAATGAGACTGGTTGGTTCGAGTGAGTGTGAAGGTTGGATATTATACGAATGACCTCCGTTCTCTTCATATTCTCGAAGAAATACAAGAATCGGAAGTCAATTGTATGTCTATCCTATCAAGACAATCTCTCCCTTGAATCACTGATAGTCTATCGTAACATATTTTGCTCTATCCGAACAGATCCACTTGTTCTTGTTAAAGAGCTTATTATATTCGGTTAATAGGATGGCGCGGCTAGAAGTACATGTACGAATTGTCGACTTCTTAGGATTTCCTTTTCTCCCGGATGAAAAAAACATGTCAAAACCGATTGATGTAATGTTGTACTACGTCTTCATTTGTCTTCTTCTCTCATTCATTTTATACACGTACGCACTCATGTTATTCCTGTGTATTTGTATGTATAGATTCCCTATCTCTGCATGATGTCTTTTCCCCCTCTCTCTCTTTATCTCGCTTTCTCGATCGTCGTATGGGTGAGATCGGTTGACGCAAATTGGCTACAGCGGGCGACGTCATTTAGATATTAATGTTTTCTCTCGCACTCTCTTTTCTTCTCTTCTTTTTTTTTTTGTATTATCGTTTGACACACACAAAGAAGCTTTGACGTACATCTATTCATATGCGCACACGGAAGGCACAATGAGAAGATAATCGGTCGAGATCAGTGTATTTCCGTTGTGATATGTTTTGTTATGCGCTGTGATTGAGTGCGAAAAAAGAGCGTAAAGATAAGGAAATAACTGCACTTTTCCTTTTTGTTACGGTGAGTTAATCATCAAATAAGCGAACGATGACGTTTCGATCAGGGATTCTCGACTATTTTCTGTTTAATGTAAAAAAAACAATTGACATTGCTCGTCGAAAATTAATTTCTCTGTGGTCTTCTTTATTTCTATACATATGTATACATTTAAAATCAAGCTATGAACCGTGAAGAACAATTCTAGCTTGCTTCTCACCTTTTCGACATATGTTAATGATCATAAAATACTTTCATTTCTTCTTCGTTTTTCGTTCTTGTTCGATTACTTGTACTTTATCTTCATTCTAGCCTCGAATTGACGCATCAATTTTGCACTTCAACGAATCATATTCTTGGCTCTTCATCTGTTCTTTCATTGAACAATAACTTTTATATCGACGAAAAATTCCTTCGATCGTTTGTGTCTTGTTCTTTCTATTCTATTAACTTTTACAACATATTTCATCTCGATTTACATCGAATCCAACCATTCGATTCGACTTCAAGGAGTATAACAAAACAGCCTTGATTATCTTTCCAATCCAAATCAAAACAACAATAACAACTATTAGGACATTGCACACATTGGAAAAGCGTGTTCTAGTAAAGTTCTATTTTTACAATCTCTCGACCAGATTATTCATTATTTGAATACATACATAAGGTAAGAGAAAGGAATTAGTTACACTAATAATGATAAATATACTTAAGATTGAGAAGATCTAGGTCACAGATTCATTTCTAAGTCATCCATCATTGATTAAACTTGATTTTTATCTTTGGTGTTCAGGGTACATTACGTGAAAAGATTAGGAGGAGAAAAAGTAAGCAAGCAGCAGTAGCGTATGCGTTAAAATATTAGTTAGAAAAGAGACATTACATATATGTCATTGAGAAGCGAATATCAGAAGGTATTTGTCAAATGTCTATCAGAGACCTCTGTTGTATATCTCATCAATCACACACATATTTACGTGTCATTTTTTTCTCATCTATTTTAGAACAAGACCAACGTATCATTCTATCTAATATCAATTTTATAATTGACGGATATTAACAAAAAAAAAGAAGAAGAAGGCAACAAAAGTCTTTATACGAGAAGAATACCCGTAAGTTATACTCGTGTGTATTGTTAATTTTCTCTTTGTTTTAAAGTCCATCGAAGCACGCGTCGATGGATTAAGATATAAGTGCAATAGAAGATCAAAGAGATAGAAATGTATTTGTGTTTGTCCTAACTCGAAAGTTCATTTGAAAAAAAAATTAAGCTGAATGAGTTTAATCGAATCGCAGTTCGTCGAGCGAAGTTGTTCTTTTGAAAAATATAGTCAACGGAATGTCATCAATCGCCATCAGCTTCTGCGCTTGGTCTATACTTTTATTAATATATGTATTGTTAAAGATGATACATTATTTAGTTATGTAATGAAGGAATTCTACTCAATCAATGAACAACACCAGATGTGTGCGTGTTCGTCCAAGTGCATTGATTTATATTGCAATTAATTCTTTCGATCGATCGTTGTTCAGATAATTTCAATCGATATTCACATTGGATTGATGGCTGAGAATCTATCGACAGCTTGTACTAGTATATCTCCTTCACTGATTGTCAGATAGACGCAGAGAGAAGAAAGAGAAAGTCTAATCGCATTGTGATAATGTTCATGTCTTGCGCATTCGTTCATTCTTTACCGTTGATCGTTTGACTCGCGCGCTCCCGATGAGCACTGTACAACGTTTGCCACTGCTAATGTGACATCCATCCATCCATCCATTCATCTATTGTTTGGTGCTTTCTCTTCCTTTCTTCCTCTCTCTTGCTTCTTTTCTCGTGTGCATACATATATACACACGATTTGTATCCTTCTTTCCACCCTTCCTATTCATTCATTCACTCATTCATTCATATATTATCCGCGCATTGTTGTCGCGTTCATATCCAACTCCGCCAACCTTGCACAAGTCTTCTGATTCATTAATTTTCTCCTATTAGATATCTAATACTTCGATATTCGTCCATCCATATAAATATATTAGAGGTAAGATAAGATTTCATCGTGATGATTTTTTGTCTATATATACTCATCGTATAGTATAGATTATTTTGTGTTCAATTGAATCTTATCTTCGAGAGAGTAGAATGTTTATTTGTTTGATCAATCAAGTAAAAACGTACGGGAGTAATGTTAATGTAACTGGAGAGAGGCGTAGAGAGAGAAAGATGATTATAGTCAAGATATACAATAAGGATTAAATACAAGATTGTATAAGATCATCATATTGTGATGTTTTGTTTTTCAGTCAGATCAACAGTGTCATCTATTGTTTCGTGCTTAGGATGTCTTTTATCCTACTGGGGAATATTATGATCCTCCTTCAGCATACGTCGTTTTTTTAATTTCGAAATCTCCTGTGTATACTCTTCAGATCGTTCTTTTGCCTGTTTCTATACGCTTTGAGAATTAGTCATCCGTCATGAGTAATCCGACGTCCACGTATTTGAATACATATATATATTAGTGTACCATCTGCGATTACTGTATGTATTCGAAAAAAACAATCATTTGATACAAGGAAATAGAAAAAGGCAGCCGACATAGATTTCGCTTGACTTTTGATTCTCAAAGGAGGAATTGGTAAGTTATAATATGTTTGTTCTACTCCTTTCGTTTTCTTTGAATTGTCGCTTATGTGTCTTTTGAAATGGCAAACATTAGACGAACAATATTCTTGTTGTATTCTCTTTTTTGTTTTTGATGAAGAAAATGTCCGACGGGGTACCATCTGCGCGTTGGTTTTTTTGTGCCTAATCATATATACATATATGTGTATGTACGAAGAATAGAATCTAACTAGTGATTCAGAGGCCAACTGTCGAGATGAAATTAATGTGACATTTGTTAGCAATAGGAAAGAAATTTTAATAGTTAATCGAATCGGTCTGTGTCTCATCAGACCATTTGTTGTCAAGGTTCTCTATAGGCAGTATTTAGCGATGTCTAATTGAATAATATGTACAAATAATGGGCATACTGTTCATTCTTCAGTGTAATACACAATAAGGAAAAGAAATAAAGTGGGCCAAATGTGAGGTCTGTAGAAAAATTAGTTAGGATATGTTTATACTTGACTTCGTTCTTTGTTTGATGACAGCAAATGAAATCGCCCTTTACGAAGATAGCCCACTGGCTGAAAAAAGCCCCTTCTTATATTGTTAACAACACATACACACTTATTGACTTGACTATATCCTCTTGTAGTATTGTATTGTAAGTTGCAAGAACAAAAAAAAATGCGACACAGGGGGTGTCGGCCAGGTGACCAACGGTTGACCTTTGCTACCGACCATCACCACATGCCTTTCATTCATTCTTGTATGTGTTTTCGCGTACGGTCTAATTGACTTCCGCAACGGGCGTGCGCATGTGTACCCACATAGGAGGGTGGGCAGAGAAACAGATAGGGAAGGAAAAAAATACCGGGAGAAAAGATTAATCTTATATACACAACGAGCTATCGCTTGAGCGAACAGCTCGAGAAACTAATCGAAATTCAATGAGACTGCTGGATATTGAGAGAGAGAGAGACAGAGAAGTCGCCTCTTTACGTTTCATCTTGCACAGTAGGAAGGCAAAGAAATATCTCCTATGTCGAACTTATTTTTCCCCTTGTGCTCCTATTGATCCGACGATAGATATGTTCTCAGACAATCGATGCCAACACCTCCTGCACTAATGCTCGCATATACAATCCTATCTTTAGCTCACCAGAATAATGAATAGAGGAGGAAGAGAGAAACGAGAAATGTCAATTGTTTTATACGTTTCATAGCTTTACATCATCGATTCTATCACCATCATGAACACTATTTGATCTCCGATCGAAAAAGTCTTTTCTAACGCACCGAAGAAACTCATTTGTCAACAAAAATTTTATCTAGTTATCTATCTTCATGTAATACGTCTGCGCGTGTCTATAAATATCAGGAAGAAGAAACTCAACTAGTTTCTGATCGTCATTCTCCATCATATTTCTCGCGAATAAAAGACAGAAGATATGAAGAACCTTGCTCTATCGAATTATGTCCATCTAGGATGACACGGCAGCTCATTTGCTGTTATCAACAGTGCTGTTTATATCAGCGGGAAGGACGTGTCTGTACACATTTGTCAACACACAAGCACTTGTCGTTTGTCTTGCTTTTTACGTGCTTTTTGCGTATGCAGATGTTCATTATATACACATTAATAGATAAAATCGATCCCATTGATCATGACTATCGAAAAAGAATAGACCTGAAACTAGAGATGTTGTCTTTTGTTTTACATAACAAGAATAACAAAAAGAAAAGTAACAATTAATTTTTTTCCTTTTGATTTTTCAACACGCTTGCAATGCTCTCGAATTACCCTCGATGTAATATGTAAAAGTACCGTTCATTACTATTCGCACAAAGCAACGTAACTTAATCGGCACAATTGTTTGTGCTACATGATCATCACCGTTAGCAGTCGTCGTAGTAGCTGTAGTAAAAATAGTGGCATTATTAAAGAGAATGAAAAAGGAAACGAGTACGTTAGGACAATATGGAGAGAAAAAAGGTGTATCTGTCTTTAGAACTAATTTTCCTTGGTTGTTGCTGAAAGATGAATGTCTTTCTTTTCTTGCCTATGTCAGTTCTTTTTTTATCGTCAACAGAAAAACTATCGTATCTGTGAACATAGAAGTGGTGACGACGTCATGTCCTTTCTTCTCTTTCGCTATTTTTACACGGATGCAAGCCGCTTTGTGGTGATAGAATGCTTTCTACAGGAACTAAAAAAAGCCGAGTGCAAACGAATGCTCGAGAAAAAAGTGGTGATGTGTTAAAAAAAGCAGAGAGAAGAGAAGGAATTCTTTTCCTATGCTACCCGTGTGTTGTCGCCTGGCTTCTTTCTCTTTTTCGTCGCCAGCGGTCGGTCGGTCGGTCGGTCGGTGGGTCGTTCGAGTGTCGCCTTCTTCTCCTTTTTTTTTAACAACGACAGAAAAAAGAGAAGATTCTCCAACTACAATAGTCGCTGCCAACTTTGACATTTGAAAATTGTTTTCCTCTTTCTCACTGTGTCTGCACGTTCTCTCTTGTGCTCACTATTCTTCTCATTTTTTTCTTCTCTTCTGTTTCTACTTTATCAACGCTTGACAAACGAGTTCTTTGCTCGCTCTCTCTGTCTCTCTTCCCTCGCTCTCTCGTTCTCGGTGTGCTCACAGACAACATAACTACTGTAGTGAGTAACGCTGCACCTTTTTTTTCTGTAATATTTTCAATTGATGTGAAGGCATCTTATAGTCTGGATTATAAAGACATTTTCTACCTAAACAAACAAAATGGGTTGCTCAAATGCTCGTTTGTTGGTGCAAACACCATTATCTGACACAAATAACGCTACCAACTTGAACGTCAATAACTCTTTCAATCCAGCCTCAGCACCAGTAGCAGTGCCGAATGAATTTAATGCACCCGGCACTGCTGCTGCGGCCGCCGCCACAGCTACTGATACAAATCCAACAACATCAACTCGAATGCATCTAACCGGTGTCGATCTTGTTGTTGAAAGAAACGGTTCCTATACGCTTTTACTCACACCGAGAACTCATAAGCAGTTAATGCCCTATGTCCTACGAAAGAAACGATTTCGGTAAGAAAATTAATGATAATCGGCATAGTTGCGTTTTTTCGTCATCTGACGAATGAATAAAAGATAAGTGCAGTCGATATTGTAGTCTTTTATATGCATGCTTGCATGCATAACCTATTGTTAGTCAATCAAATTAGTTGTTCAAGAGGGCAAGAGAGTAAGTAGAAAGAATACTATGTATGTATTGCTCCGTATTTCGAGCTCATTTATTCCAGGGTAAGCACTTGGCGTATATATGTATACATATGAACTCACTTAAGGAAGAAAAACCTAGAGAAAGAGGACAGAAATTTAAAGATCGATGAATTGGATGTTAGTATCATCATCATCGAAAGTGAAGTAGACTCGTTGAAGAATACAGTAATAGAATTAGTTTCTTTTTCTTTTCAGTAATCGTTAAGAAGAAGACATATGTCGAGTGACGATGTCGCATTATTATTATTGATTTTCGTCAAGAAGAGAAACTGACGTTCTACTGATTGTCAGTGATGACTTAGGATATAATCACCAAAGTGTTCTATGGAAAATAAAAAAGAAACATTGTTTCCGGTCGTTTTTTTTTGCTATACCCGGTCAACAGTCGCTCTGGGTAAAATCAAGCCTAAGGCGTTTCTAATCATACTTTTATACATAAATAACGTTTGAATATAAAATTAGACATTCCTAGGCGGAATCAGGCTGAAATTGACTATATCCGGTAATCAGCATTACCGAACAATTGTTGATCTGTCAATGCTCTAGTTTGATTCCTTTCTGAGCAGAAACGCGCGTCCTTTGTAAAAAGAATGATAAAACCAAAACAAATCCTATTTAATTGATGTCTATATTTAAATATCTTGATTTTCATTCGACAAATCTTGAGGGTGTACAGTTGTTTTAACCTTGATTGATTCTTTTTTTTTTATTAAAACAGATGTCGCTAATAAACATTCTAATAATAATCATCGACATATTTCTATTATGTAAAATGTATGTATTCAAAATATTTGATTGAGAAAAAAAGAATAACAAAAGTAGCCTTGGATTTAATCAAAATCACAACTGTACGTCACCTTTCATTTTCAATCATTGGTTCTAAATGAATTCCTTTGACAAAGACAAAGAGAGAAAGAAGAGAAAGAGAATGAAAAGAAAGGACATTGGTGCCATGCTATGCATCATCAGTCATTCTCTACCTTCTTTTTTTGTTAAAATATCGAATTCTGTCTAGGTAATCGATTTTTTTCTTTCGTCTATTTAGAATTCTCGTTGATAAACCGCGCTCTGAAGGACTAGCAACTGTGAATCCACCATTATCATCTTATGATTTATCCAATACAGACCGAACTATGGAAAGTGGCAAAGAATTAAAACTTAGCGAAAAGAAGAATAAGAAGCATAATAAACAAAAGATGGAATCGACTATCGAAGCTGTTCAACAAGCTGCATCGGATGAGCTTGATAAAGCAAAAGCTCGTTTTATTGGCGGTCGAAGCATCGATCGTGGTGATCCGGAAGATGAAGATGGTACCATTCAATCCGACGATGAAGGTATGATCGAAGAAATCGTCACAACTGTCGAAGAAGACAAAGATCTCGAATGTAAAGTGAAGAAGAAAATCGAAACAAAGAAAACCGTTGCACAAGACCCCGAAACACATAACAAAATAACTAAAGTTGTGAAGACTGAAGTCACCGAAATCACACGAACCATAACCATCAATGACCAACATGATCTCGAACGTGCAAAACGAGAATTAGGCATCGATGATGTGAATAAACTATTACCATCAACCCAAATTATCTATAATCTCCCATCAACATATCACTCATCATCGTCATGGGTCGATCATCCACGTATAACTCATGTTCAAGAGAAATATTACGAACCATCGAATGAAATTGTTACATCAGGTGATTTTCCATCTGATAGTCCAGTTAAACAACATTCACCCACCATGGAACTGAATGAAAACGATATCAAAGTTGATCAACCATTAGCCGATGCAACAACTGTTGGCCGTGGTCCAGTTGCTGAAACAGTGTCATCGTCGACAACAGCACCTGCATCAACAGCAACTGTTGAACAGAAAACAGTTGAAACAAAGAAGAAAAAGAAGAAATCTAGTCTGAATTTATGTTCATGTACTCGTAGTACAGCCACTGATGTAGATGAAGAACAACGTAAACAGAAAGCGGCAACGATTGTTGAACAAAAATCCAAACAGAAAAAGAAAGCATCAGTTACAACAACGAATGCGCTTCTTTCCTCCTCGAATCTTCAATCACCAGCTCAAGTTCAACCATTAATATCTGACGATATCAAAAATTTAATGACCGAGAAAAAAACTCTTTTAATCGATTATATTCATTCGAAAGTCTTCGTTCCATCGAAACTATTCACGACAAATGACCAGGATGCTAAAGGAAGAAAGATTTCTTCACGAATCTACGAACTTCTCTCTCATGATCGTTGCTCATCATGGACAAATTTATTCGAACAACTCAAAGATGAATATTCAGATGATCTAGCTCCAAACATATTCATTCAACCAATGGTGAAAACTTATCAAGAATTATTTACTAATAAACAAGCGAATATTCTCAACACATTTGCGACAATTCACAATGATAAAGATATAAAAAATCTTCCTGAAAATCACGATTACATAACCATCGTTCAAACATATCTTAATGAACGTGATAATCAACCGAATATTACTGTTGTTGCCAAACCATTTGTTGAAAACATTGAAGACACACTTGAACGTTTACAACATCATGTTCAACCAGACGAAAAAGGTTATTATCAATTTCCGTATTTCTTTTTCTCTTACTTCTATGAGCAGATAGCGTTGATGGGCAGGTCAATGTCGTCCATTAGCCTCGTTGCTTAGTTGACTTTTCTCCTAACATAACAACTTCTTTCCCTAATCATAATAAGGAAATCCTCCTATAAGCATTTCTTTGTGTGTTGCTTGTCTTATGCATAAATCGATCGTTGAGAAGAGAGATAATCACAGTAAGCCCTTACCCGGCGGATTTCTTTCTTTCCTTCTTTCTTTCTTTACTATTTGCCATTGCATCATTATAACTCATTGAATATGTAGTTGGCTGACTGCCATTACTTGTTGTGGTTAATGGTCTTACTATTTTCTCTGGCAAACAGAGAGGAAAGAAAGAGAAGAGAAGAGAAGAAAAAAAAGGTTAGCAGCGTATGCGGGCATTCGGTCATCGTTAATTATCTCGAATACTAACGGTGATGATCATGATGATAAATTAATAACATCACGAGGTAAAAAAATCAAGCAAGGAAACTAAAGGAAGGGCGCTTTTGTGCACGTATTCATTTTTGACAAGCGAACGAGAGGTCATGCCTTTTTTCGACGCGACCATTGGACAAACAATAGGGACATATACGTACACATGGGTGACACATGTATATGAACAAGGGTGTTTGTTTAAGGACGAGTGAATAGAAAGGGAGTGATCGTGTATGTATGAACAGTTCACTACATTGACACAATGAGATTTCGACGATACGTTTTGTCTAAGTGCAGTTGGACATCACCGGGACGTTACTCTGATCCAACTGGTAAGTTTCAGTCGAATTTCAATTTCAATGCGAATATCTTTGAGGATTATTTTTTCGGTATTCGATTGCTTCTTAACAATCGTCCTTTGCTACACTATCCTCTTGATCCTTATTCCCCAATCTAATGCTCATATATGTCAATATTCAGCGCAAAGAAGAGAGAATATGATGTATTTATGTAGATATATATATATATATATATAACTATACGTCGAGTACATTATACAGTACAAATATAATCATGATTAGATAATAGTCGTATACATAGATGGATATATTCTGTTCTTATTTCTTTGTTAAGATTGTTCTTCCAGTTTTGTTGACATTGCATCCATTAACAGAGTAAGGCTTGAGTTCGTCAGTGTAATTAAATGGTGCAGCGTGTAAGTTTCCGAAGAGACGATGAAGAAGAGTTCGTTTTTTGGGTTTACTTGAAACTGCTGGAGTTGTTTCTTCGTAAGAATCACTTGAATTCATCATTGGTAAATGCGAAGGTGGAAGCAATGAAGGTTGCGTTTTTGATTCAGATGCCATTTATTACTTCACTTGTTTCGTTCGAGCGTACGTTCGTTCGTTTGATTACTTACTCACTCTTACCTGTCTATACGTCAAACTATTTGACGATTCGCACTGTCTTTGCGTTACTTACCTACTTTCAGTTTTTTTTCTTCTTGTTCCTGTTCTTCTTCTCTTTCTCCCTTGCCGCTGACAGAATATAGGACATCAATAGCAACTGTGTTGATTTCGTTTGTATATACATACGTATATTTAACAAAGAAAAACGAGACCGAGAGAGCAGCGAATTCTTGTAAAAATATGCAAAAAAACCGGGATTTATTTTGCTTCTATTTTAGTGATCACCGAACATAAAAAACAAGAACCATTAGTGCATTCAAAAGAAATCGATATGTCTGATGATGTGGAGAAAAATACACCTGTGTACGATGAAGAACAATTAGTCAAAGCACTCGCCGAGATTTCGCCACACAAGCCAATTACACTAGCTGAAGCAATCGCTTATCAATATCTTGATCTGGATAATCCTAAACTTGGCCTGTCAACCGATACAATTGAACGAATCAAACATTTATTTCGTCCTTTATCAAAAGATGATGAATCAACCTTGAATTTGATACGCATTAATCGGGCTGGTCAATATTTGGCTGATTTTAATCTTGCTGAGACAAACACTTTTGAAAGATTTCATTTATCCGAACCGTTCATCTATCAATTACAGCAATCGTTCGAACCAACGCTTGATTTTAGCGAGAAACAATTTCGTTCATTAACAGATGCGATTCTCAATAACAAAGCTGAATATTCCAGTCTCCAATTCGATATTGGACGAACATTGGTACCGGCTGGTGATATGAAAGAGTCATCAACCAATGATTTCAGTCAATCGGACTCGGGTTATTCAATGACAACTGCAACATATGAAAGTCTAGCTGGAAAAGTGAAAAATGAATTTGAAACGATCAATGAACCAATACCTGATCAAGCCAATGAATCTGATAAGGTGAGTTCAATTGCTTTCTCTTTCGATTAGTGATCATTACGATCAATGTGTGAGATAAACATGACTAAACTAAACGCTTTTTACAGACTACAGGCCAAAGTAATCTGACAGATGAACCAGATTTGGAAAGTTCACGCTCAAGTGACGTTAAGTCGATCGTAGCTCCAGATGTGAAAGAAAATCTCGAAACAAAAAGAGATTCCAGACGACTTTCCGCAGAAAAAATTGCAAAAAAAGAGGATCGACCAGCGACGCCAGTCTATATAAAAAAACGAAAATCAACTGGCTTATTTTCATGCTTTGGAAATAAAAAAGCAAAAGCTTCAACCGAACAGACTGGTCAATCGACAATCACAGCACCATCTGTTGTCGCGACGACCGAAACAAATATTGTACAAACAAAATCGCCTATTGAAGAGAGACCAGTAATTGATTATACGATTTTACCCGACGGCAAACGCATTTATATTGATGCGTTTCAAGATCGGCCAGGTCTTGACATGTCATATAGGCCAGAGAATTTCGATACTCAATTTGTCCTACCTATTGTAAGAATTCATTAAAAATCGATTTGCATCTGTTGACCTTTTCTGCATGGTTATTTCCTTTTGATTTCCATTGCTTATTTATCCTTCAAGCTAGTTTATACATATACACGCAAACACAACATAAACGTGTTCGTCTTGAATAGTTCGTAATCGTCTGCATTTTCTCCTATTGCCTTGGGTATCCATAAATTAGTTTAGACTGATCTGTCAATGAAAGCGATTATTATGCATGCTTGTTTCTTTTAATGTTAATTCTCTTAATCATCTTTGGTAATCTTATTTAGGCCAAGCCAAGTAGCGAGTACGAAAGAGCTATGACACCAACGGATATAGAACTGCAAACACCAACAATGGAAGACAAACCAATCGTTCATCTCGAACCACGATCAGCAACAGCTGAACCTGAACATCATAGTCATATTGAAACGTTCGAAGAAAAGCCACATGTTCACTTGGAACCTCGGGCACCAACCATCGAACCAGTTGATGTCCAAGCAGAGAAGACCGAAGAGAAACCACGCGCTCATTTGCAACCACGATCACCGGTTATCGAACCAGTCGATGTTCAAGCTGAAGAAAGTGAACATAAAGTAACTACACATTTGGAACCACGTGCACCCACAATTGAGCCAGTCGATGTACAACCTGAACAGGCACCTGCTATTGTTCATGCCACCAAACACGAAGAATCAACTGTTTCGAAAATAAATACACCAGTATTGTTACAGAATCTACACGGTGCAGCTGTTGATTTACCAGAAGTTGAACTCGTGGAACCAGGACCATTGCCAACATTACCAACACTAACGGTCACAAAAGAGAAACACAAGAAATCAAAAGAACCGATCGTCTCAACCACGCCCACAGAAAAACCAGCCAAAACGAAAAAAGTAAGCGCTGGTCTATGCGCATCATGTTTTGGCGCTAAAGCAGCTGAAAAGAAGAAGAAAGAAACCAAATCCGACACTGTTAAAGCACCTATTGAACAAAAGAAAGTTGAAGAAGAAGTTAAGAAAGATGAACCACCAGTGACTACGATTGAAACTACAACAACTATTGAGTCCTCATCACAACCAGTGCCCACTCAAGAAGCTATCGAATTATCAAATGTTAATATTGACAATTATCAAGAACGAACTCTTCTGAAGAGCAGTGAAGTAAATATGAAAGCTAAATGTCAATTATGAACAAAAGAATTCCTTCCTTTGACTTTCTTCTAGAGTCTCCCGAAATTAGACGACCGTCTAGATGCTACGATTGAACATATCGTACCGACTGAAGAACCTCATTATCAATTACCATCCAGCGAGCCGGTGCCGCAAACTATTATTGAAAATGAGTATTCATTACCTGCACATGATACATATGATGTGCCTCGTTCAATCGAAACACCAAGTGAACAAAATATTCAAGTGAATGTAGAAGAAACAGTACGTTGAAATTGATTCGGTTTTTGAAAGTATTTTTTCCATTTTATTTAGATTTTGCACACAGAGAAAACAGTTCAAGTTGAAAAAGCAAGTGAAGATGTGGTTTCAAAAGAACAAAAATTCGAATCAACTATTGAAACTATGCCTAATGTTGAAGTTAAAGAGTCCAGTACGAAAGGTTCTTACACATTACCAGCGAAATCATCGAAAACAAAGAAAGTCAAGGAACCTAAAATCAAAGAGAAGAAAGTTAAAGAACCAAAAGTGAAAAGTGAAAAGAAACCTGGTTTATTTGCCAATCTCTTTCGTCATAGTGATCGTAGTCCAAGAGCACCAGCACTCGATTTACCATCCGTAGAACGTGATCTATCACCCAACAATGAACTACGTGCAGCTCATCGACAGGACAGTGATCCTCTACGAGTACCAAATGTTGATTTACCCGCACCTGATATCGAATTGCCTACCTATGATAAAGCAGAAGTGAACATGGCAACTGGACAGACTAAATCTTCATCATCAGAATTTGCCATTCCAAGTGTGAATTTGCCACCCATACCAGATTTACACTTACCTGGAAATGAGAATCAGCCAGTTGATTCAACTACGAATTTGATGCAAGTTCCAAGCGTTCAATTACCTGAACTTGAATTCACATCCAATGAAACTGTATCGACTACCGAACTCAAACCGGTTGAAACTCCTGTCATCACAGAAATCAAACAAGAAAATCAACTGGAGCAATTGCCAGCATCACCTGTTCAAGAGACGTTAGATATTCAAGCTGATCAGATAGTTTCTTCAAATGAAAATGATTCAGTAAGTTATCGATAAAGTTTTGCCCACCTCGTGAGTGGCATTTTCTTTTCTTCAGCCTATTCCACAATTACCAAAATTTGCTTCGGATGACGCAGATCTCACGCCAAAAGTGGAATTACTAACAACGGAACAAAAATATTCCATTACTGATACTCAATTTGTGGCACCTCCCGAACTACCCGTCATCGTTGACGTAAGTAACTTTCAAATAGAGGAGCCTTAACCTGAGTTCTATGTTTTTGATCTTCAGAAACAAATAACTGAACAAGTCGAAACTCCACCGAAGCTCCCAGATTTTACTTTCGAATTGCCTACGGAAGAACCCGTGGAAGTTGTTTCAAAAAATGCTGCAGTTTCTCCACCGTCATTTGACGACGATGTACCATCAGCTGCATCAAAGATCGTGCCAGCTATCGAAGTTTCCACTCTACCCATCAAAACTGCAGAAAAGGAAGTCATCGAAACAAAAACCGAAACCAAAAAGAAATCTTCTACGCTTGCACTTTGCTCATGTTTTGGCAATAAATCGAATGTTCAAAAGACCAAAACGCTTCCTGCGCCAAAAGAGAAGAGCAAGCCGATTGTCCCACCCAAATCTGATCTTCCAGAAGTTGATATGCGGATTCCATCATCAAATATTTCCTCGACATTGAAAACCAAAGGTTCATTGCACGCACCAAGCACTGATCTTCCACCGGTAGATTTAACTTTACCTGCAACCGAGCCCGTTCATCTACCAGCTCTTCATGCTCATGAAAAGAAACGCAAAGCGCCTAAGAAACCGGTTGTTAAAGAAGAAAAGAAAGTTAAATCTGAAGCCAAAGCGAGCCCTGAAGCAGTTGTACCAACAACAGTGAATGAAGTAAATGTACAACAAGAAACTACTGTTACTCCAGTCATTGAAACAAAAGTGGAAGAACAACACACAACTGAAGTGCCGGTTGCGATTGAACAAGTTCAAGAAGAAGTAACAATATTAACAACGCGATCACCGACTCCTCCACCGACAGTTGTTGAGAAGCACGTTGAAGAGCCGATTGTCGATCGACCCCCTAGTCCGGCACCTATCACTAAAGCCCAACCCGTCGAAGAAATATTGGTTACTTCACCTGTTGAAAAAGAACCAATTGAAGAAACCAAGACTGAATCATCCGTTGCGAAATCAACCGTGGAAAAGAAACCTGTCGAAGAACTCAAAGTACGTGGAGGTTTTATTCTAATTAGGTTCGAATTGTAATTACCTTCTGAAGTGTATACTGAGTCGAGAAAATAAAAGAAACATGGTAGGTTTCATCGAATACACAAGTAACCTTGAATTTTTCGATTTCCGTTCGACTGAAGGACTTCTTTTGATTTTCAACGATAAAAGCATTTTACTAATGGAAGACATAGAAGCTATATACCTTGAGGAATATGTCGATCACGATCAGAAAACATAATAGACTAGTTTCATTCAGCTTAAGACTGATTTCCTTGTTAAAATTGGATCAAAATATTAACATGATCGAACAAAGATTTCTATTTAGCTCGAGAGAATAGTTTAATTTATATTCATTGCCAATATAAGGAAGGAAGAGAAACAATCGATTTCTATTAATATTAAAAACATTCCTTTGTTCTTTTTTCCAGGAATCTCATAGCGAATCAAAGAAACATTCAGCACTCGAAATCAAAGCACCTGCATATAATATTCCTGAACTGGATTTATCAGGTCCACCGAAAAGTGATTCCTATGTGTCTTCATTGAAACATGAAGCATCGATAGCAACTCAATCTCGTTCGGATAGCGGCCTTGAAGCGATCATTTCATCTCATCTTCATCCATCGTCAACATTCGGTACAAACCAAACCATCGAAACTCTTAACCAACACCCGTCCGTTACTTCAGGTTTAGGCAGTGATACTGTCGCTAGTATAACAACCAAATCATCAACAGTACCTGACATTCAAGTCGAAAAGACGACTACTTCACCTAAGCGTGAAAACAGTTTCTCACGACATGACTTTACTCGTAAAATCAGTATCAATGACGAATTACGTTCGAAACTAATCTTTCGACAAAACGATTTGAAGAAATGTTTGGAAGGTGAAATCTCGAAATCGATCGAGGATTTTGATGCGAAGAAAGATCAGAAATCTCTCAATAAGATTCTTACACACGCAATCGATTTGATCAAAGATAAGAAAGTCACAACGTATCCTGAATTGAAACAAAAACTAATCGTTGAACACAAAAATGACGCATTCATCGTTGATCCTGTCGTTCGATCACTTTATTGCACAATCGAAAAAGAAGGTTTGGATAATCTCGATACACCTGAATTTCCCTTAGCTATTCGTGATGTAAGTGATGATCAATGATTTTTTAATTCGTTTTATGAATTATTCATTTTCATAGATGGTACGTCTTCCGGCTAAACAAACATTTGACACCGTTGCGCATTTTAACAAAGACACAACAGAGTACGCCATAAATAATAGAATACATTCTCATTTTTCCTCTCGTTCTTCGTTCATTCTAGAGAAAAGTCACATATAACAAAAGAGCAATCATCAACAAAACATTCTTGTTTGACTTGCGGCCGTTCGAAATCATCGAAATCTAAAGTTCCATCAACACCAACAACTACAGCAGTCAGCAGCGGATTACTCGATGATCGTCGCCGTGTGCAACTGAATACTCATCGAAATGAACTAGGCACAATTCTTCGTGATCACATTCAATCAAGTCAACCGCCCATTCGACAATTCCCCGAACATACAAAAGAAGTCGAAAAGATCATTCGAAAAACTTTAACGCTTGTTACTCAACCGAAAATTCTCTCCTACGAACAGATTCGTAATGATCTAAAATCGGAATATAAGCAAACATTCTATCTTGTTGATCCAACAGTTGACATCGTTCGTGATACATTCGATCATTGTGATATAACACAAATGAATGAGAAGACCAATCTCGACATTCTCGACTCGAACATAACTCAAACAGCTAATCTTTACAATCCATCGATGAATCGAGTGAGTTTACTAACCAATGAAGAACAAAACTTATTGAAATCCAATCAATTATCATGGCTCAATCAATATCTAATCGACAATGAATTGAAAGAGAAGAAAATCACGAAAAAGCAAAACAAGGAATTAAGTAAAATCCTCACGCGCGCAATAGACCTCCTCTCTCTGAATCTAATCTATTCATGGGATGAACTTAACTCTCAATTACGACGAGAATTTCCCAAAGCACACGATCTATGTGATCGAGCGGTTGAATTAATCAAACAAGCACAAAAGGATGGATTATTACTGTTACCGCAATCACCGAATGCCGTTCAACAGGATGTTACATCAGTCAATATCATCACTGCCAATGGAAAACGACGTGTCTCATCATTGATAACTGATCGTGCTCGACAGAATCTGAAAAATAATCGAAAGAAGATCGTCGCATCGATTACAGGTTTATTGTTGGAGTATAATAAGACTTTATACACTGAACATCAAATTGAAAATTATGTGAATAAGACATTTCATTGCTTGGAAGGTCAAAAGACAGGTCAATTCAAAGATTATAATGATGTGAAAGACAAATTGAAGAAAGATTTCAAACATAATCATGAAAAATTAATTGAGCAAATTGTCGATGTCATCGAACAAGCACACGCAACTAACCAATTCGATGATCTTGACAAACCTGAAGTACAAACATTAATGAGAGATCGACTTGATGGAAAACGTAAGTTTCTGAAAGAAATTTTCTAAGAAAACTAATCTTTTTCTTGTCATTCCTTCAAGCTTTGGTTATTAAAGAAATGTACGTTTCATTGCCACCACGTGCTGGTGCATTTGGTCCATCGAAATATGGTCATGATGACTCCGGACATTATTTATCAACATCTATCAATGGTGATCGAACATTGAATAGTAGTACATCATCACATCGTGTGGGTCGTGGTTTGAGTTGGCGAGAAGCAAATGAACGTGCTCGAATTCTCTTTTATCGTGGCAAACATCCAGCTATTCATTACGATGAACAAGCGGCTGGTTTTGATGTCCGAATGTTATTGGAAACAACAGCAGGTGGAACCCAAGAAATACCTGTTACAGACAGTGATGTAAGTTTTCCTCTCTTCTATTAGGACCTAATTCGCAAATGTGGATGTCATGTCGTTTTCTTTCAATTATCTAATAAGGAAAACTCAGTATGACGTTGTCGTCTCGGCTGCTAAAAGGATTGCAATCCATTCTATATAATGACAAGTTACTACTCAGAATTGATAGACAGAAAGAGACTTTTTTGAATGAGTTTGAGAACTGAAAGATACTCGGCGGATGCACATTCATTCATCTCGGTAGAATTTTGTTCAATGAATTATTTTGAGATATGATTTATTTGTTTAGGTTCATGAATTACTCAATTCATGTGGTGTTCAATGGGATGGTGTGAATATCATATCTTTAGTTGATCATAGTGAAGATGTTGTTCGTGCTGCTGAACAAGCTGCCTTGAAAGTAATCCGTGAAAAGGGTCTTGTAGATCTCCGAACACCTCCATCAGCACGAAATACAGATGATAATGATGAACCTCAATCATCTTGAACATTCATTCATTCATTCATTTATTTGTTTTGTTTTTTTTTTCTCTCTTTCTCTAAACTTTCTCTTTTTCTTGTTTGTTTGATGTTTTAAGCATCATATCTCGTTTCGCGCGCTGACCAATTCCGCACGATAACATATCTCTCTTTTTCTCTACTACACACATACGCATATATTGACATATTTACAGAAAAAAAGAAGCAAATTTCTACTAGACAACATTGTTTGTTTTGTTTTTGTTGTTGTTATTATCATATCAGTAATTCTTGGATGAAAAGAAAAACAAAACATTGTCCCTTCTCTCTCTCTCTCTCTATCTTATATTTCTCATCGTTTATTGTCCGCTTGTCTCTCTCTCTCTCTATACATAATATGTATTTAGTCATTTGCGTTTGTGTGTTTTTTCATAAAAACAAAGATGTATCGTTATTGTCATTTGTCTCTATGTGAAAATAAAAGAAAACGTTCATTTTTGGAGAATGATGCAGTTAGAAATATTAAGATCATCATTGTTTTGTGTATATAAAAAAGAAAAAGAAAAACCGAAATGAAAAGAAGAAGAAAAAAATAAGGAAGAAAATAAACACAAAAACAACAAAAGAATAAAATACACAAAAACATCATTTTTTTCAAAATATTTCATTTCTTTTTGTAGCAAAAAAAGCCGATTGAGAAAAACAAACGAAAAGCATATCACGATGATGCTGGCTGACCGTTTTTATTAGCTGGAGAAATTAGAGAAGATTTGGACATATCATCCGTTGATGTCGTAGCAATTCGATTCGTTTGAGTCTTTTGTGAAGCTTCATCTGCTAATTCTTGCCATCGTTGAAGATTACTTCTACAAAAAAGAGCATAAGATTGAAAATAATCAAAGGACGACGCTATGACGTTGGATTTACTTCGCTCCGTTGAGCATTGGCGTTGTTTCAGGCAAAATACGTGCCATTAGTGAATAGCATGGGAGACAAATACTTTTAATAAAATTCACCTAAAAGAAGATTAAAATGATTAGATATTAATGAAGAAAGAAAAATAAAGCGGAAATATCTCAATGGAATAGCAAAAGTCTTAATCTGATTATTGAAGTTTGTCATTCTTCTTTGAAATCCCTTGTCACAAACTCGATGAGAATCAAATTATTCTATCACTGTTAGTCCCAAGATAAACATGACTATATTTGATCTTTCTCTCCTTGTGGAATGTAACATGAACCTTCGAAGAAACAAGAGATTTACCTGATTTTTGGGTAATTCATGAGCAAGTGAACGATCCATTAATGATTGCGGTTGCAGACCTTGTCGTTTCTCTTCATCACCCTGTATGAAAAATGAATTTCATTTATGCATAAAATGAAAACGGAAAAAGCAAAGACATCTATGCATAAGATCTCTCTTTCTATGAAGGAGAAGAAAGCAGCAATTACATATACATGGATAGTGAGAAAAACAAAGGCACACCTCTTCCCAAAACTCGTCCATTATTGTGCTGACAATTTCTTGTTGAACTTGCCACGGCTTATACATAGCACATAGATCGGCCGATGTCATTGCTATGGATTGTAATCGACGACTGGAAAAAGTACAAAATACACAATAAATACAAACAATCGAACATGACAAACACGAATCAATTTGACCGCATTTCCCTTTTTTCCTCCATCCAATGTTGCTTAGGATCGTATTCGGTAGTGATAGTGCGCTGGACAAACTAACACAAACTCTGTTCATCTATACAAGTAAGTGCTGCTTTCTTGTGAAATATGGACACACAGAAAGAGAGAGAGAGAGGATGGACCTGAGCGGAAAAATGGGAAGGAATGTTCAATCACCTGCTGATAGAATTCTTCCATGATGATGCTCACATTCGACCGCTGCACGTCCCATTGTTTAAATGAAGAACTCAAATCCGCAGCGGTCATGCTGAGCGCCATCATTCGTTGCCTATAGAGAAAAGAATTTGTGAATTAGAAATCAATCGAAAAACATGTGTGCAATTAATAATTAAAAGATCAGATTGTTTATGTTATCATTCCGTAGTGTCAATCTATGCTAACTATGTGTCAGTTTTGTGCATACAAACACACACGTATTAAAAAGGCCAATACCAAGAAAGAAAACAGGCACTATCACCACACAAGGACAACCAACAACAAAGGATGAAAATAAATGATTAAAATAGGGATTATTGCGGCAAATTTCGTAAATCAAATTATAAATTTTTGTTATTGATGTTTTTTAGAGCAAGACATAAGAAAATAGCTGAAAATTCAGTCTTTTTCACTTACAAATGCTCTCGATTCCGCCAAGTGAAATCCGTCGTGTCGACGATACGTTCAAGTTTCGGACGATTATCAAAGAACAAGGCTAGATCAGTTGCCAATATACAATGACGAATTTCATCTAACATTTGTCGATATTCTTTCGAAGAATAATGTTTAAAAATGTTTAAATTTTCACTCTAAATTCAGACTACATTTATTCCACTCAAGAAGAAGTGTTCACTCTCACCTGAAGGATAGTAACAGTCTGATTGAAATGATGTCGTTCCATAGTTGATGTTGAATAGATTGAAGCAAGAGCTGAAGCACTTTTCACCATGAATGCGTTCGTTTTACCACGGTGATCGAGATCATGGCACAGACAGGCAACAAACAGCGCAATACACTAAAAAAAAACACCCAAAAGTCTCATCATTCGATCGAAGTCCAACAATTTTGATAATACATCATTTGGTGAAAATCCATTTTTTGTTTGTTTTATCACAGTATATATTGAATGTGCTACACTGAATGCATGGGACCAATTATGATACGGGACGTTTCGATAGTTTTTTCGTACAGTCAATATAAATCTCATTAGACATTCCATATCGAATCTAAATCAGAAATGAACAGTAGACTCATTGGTCTAATTTCGAATCTTACCGATTGGCGTATAATGGATCAAGATTAGCAAGATCGAGAAACATATAAAGAACATATGTGGGTTTGAACTCATTCGAGACATTCCACGGTGAGTATTCGAATCGTTCGAGATTTGGAATGTTGTCTGGAAGTGGACATGCTTTCATTCGTTCGTATTCTTCATCAGTACATGAGGCGTGATACGATAAAACTTCAAGTGATACTTTACACTTTTGTTCAGAGCGACGAATACGGTCATAAAGTGATGCATGATGAAGAGCTTAACGGAGAGCAAAAGTACTGTTAGGAAAAAAAGCAGATTGTTAGTCGAGGTATTTACCAAGCCCACAATAAACAGCGAAGGTTTCAAATGATTCTTCATCACTTTTAGTAAAATGTCCATTTTTTTTATTGATCATCTGAACAACACCAATTACACTTCCTTGAATCATAATTGGCATGCACAAGAGTGTTTTTGTTTTATAACCTGTTTTCTGATCAATATCTCTACAGAAGAAAACGAGAAAAAAAAGAATATTCCAATCAATGAAGAATAAGTTCCTACCGATTAAATCGACTATCACTATAAGCATCAAGAATATTCAGTGTTTTTCCTGTTGTTGCGACATAACCAGCTATTCCTTTATCCATGGGAAACCGTATACATGGACATTCATCGGATGCTGAGCGTTTTTCTCCATCAATATCACTAATCGCAGATGAGTCAAGCATATCATGTTCTTCACGTCCAATATCAAAGATTCGTGCATAAAGTTCTTTTGTTCGTGAATCAACCATAAACAACGAAGCTCGATCAGCATTGACTAACTTCTTCGCATAACTCTACATGGTAGACAAATACAGTCAATGTACACATGTCTCTCTCTCTTTTTTTCGTATTTACCATGATCTTCAGCATGACAACATCCATACTGACGAGTTCTTGGAAAATGGATTTCGTAACAGTTAGAAGAAAATCATTCAAACGTCGTTCACGTGTCATTGTATGATAGAGCTAAAACATAACGAAACAAATGTGAGCGGCGTGTCCGAAGTGAAGGCAACAAAACATGGTTTCTATCGTTTTTTTTTCTTGAAAGCAATCAGATAAAAATTGAATTGAAACGAGCTAGTTATTCATGCATTATCAAATTGAATTATGTTCGTGACATATCAAAAGATTTAGAAAGAAGCAAGCAATAGAAAGATTTACACGCAAAAAAAAGAGAAGAGACAAACAAGAAAGTGATGTGCATATTTTGGGAGTGTAATACCTCGTAGTATGTTTGGGTGAAAAGCTCATTCACGCATTTTACAATTTCCTGAAGCAAAAGAGAATGAAATTATTAACTACATTGAATAAAAGAAAATAGATTAATTAAAAACATATAAAGCTGCTAGATTGCTGGAGAACACTAATTACGATAAAAGCACCAGGAAACTTCCTAAAGAAGCTTTATCAAACGTCGCTTTTATTCTAGATTTATGCAGATCACCTTGCATAGACAATAGAAGCGAGGGGTTTTAGTATCAAATGCACGACA